TATATATATATATATATATATATATATATATATATATATATATATATGTGCATTTATAATATTTTTCAATAATATTTTTTTATAAATGAGATATTCAAATTTTTAATAATATCAAGTCACTATTTTGTTATAACTATATGAAGTATATACAGTCTAATTATATTAAACTAGCAAAGGATTTGACATTTTTCACATTTTAGCATGTGACACATTTCGGAAATTGTTAATCAAAGATTGTTAATCAGATATGAATGTGAATCAGATATGATTAATTCTCTGACATTAGATTGTATATAAAAAAATATCAGCGATTCTTTTTTGATTCGGTGTTTCAGGAAATGATCTATTCCGGCTATTTAAGATACACATCATAGAGGATTCCAACGGATCTGAATACGAGAACGATGTTGGGCCATCCGTAAAAACGGTCTTATAGCAGTGCGTTCATCATCATCATCAAAGCCTCCGATATTTCTATCGTTAATTTATGAACAAAATTTATAAAAATATACGATAGAAGTTGTGCTAACTAATTTTCAATTCTTTAATGAAGACAATCACGATTTGTATAATATTTAACAATATTTTTATTAATTAGTTGCTTTATAATATTTTTCTATGATTTACGAACAATTGATGGAATTTATGAAATATAATTTTATACAGTAAAATTTAGTTGCTTGATATATTAAATATTTATTTCAACTGCAGAATACATGCAACATTTTGACATAATTTTAAAATTTAGCGTGTTTTATAAAAATATACAGTGCATTATTTAAGATGTAATAGTAACAAAGATCATCAAAGCGCATGTATATATCGTCAAAATATAACAGCGGAGCTGTAAGAGATTATTAATAGAAACAACTGGAAACTTACCTTTTTATTTATTCATGCGTATTTCTATAGTTACTGAGACGTGAGAATTCGAAAATTTTATCTGTTAAACAGATGCGATTTTTTTTTATTAACGTCTCAAGAAACTACCTACTATCAGGTGATGTACAAGGTGTATTGTGCAAGGTGACTTTTTAAATCGCACGTGCGTGACCGAAACAAACAACGTGCGCAAAGGAAAAACTAATGCAAACAATAATATAACTATACTAACTTAAACTACTTGAAAGGATGTCCTTCCAAATCGTCCGCTATGTTTATAATATTATAAATACTATATGTACAACGTTCTCATAATTATGGATCATTATTATATTTTTCTTCTAATCTTTTAACAAAATACGCTTAATATTTGTATTAATTTTAACGTTACCATAATACTCTTGCTATACAAATTTACATTACTTAAAAAATGTTCCAGCTGTACAATAAAAATCTGACAATAATTTAATCTACGCTAATAAAATTCCAAAGTCGTGATTCCGGCACGGGGAGCATAACATCTATTTACTTTTTGTGTGCATTGTGAAAATTTCATCGGCCAACATGTAATTTAATTAAATTCTGAACGCGATCAAAGAAAGCAATGTATTCTTAATTACACAAATACTGATCGTTACTTTGCGAAAAATGAAGTTTTAGAAAAATTGCAAAATTTTTGTGACGTTCCTAAATATCAAATTGTATTTTTTGTACCCTGGGAGATGTTTTTTTATGTTAAAAATGCAATAACTGAGGAAATAAATAATAATCATAATAGAGTAAAATAAGTACGTGAAAGAATAGAATGACAGACATTTGGTGGAATGATTATTAATGTTTTTACAACTGTAACAAAATGTCTAATTTATTTCATTAACTCTTCGTAGTCACACTTCTCTAGAATCCCGCGGTAGTCACACTGGGTCGTATTGACCCAGTCGATTTTTAATGGTTGCCATTTTAATGGTATCGGTCCAATCGGGTTCAAATAATTCTGGAACATACCTTCAACATTCTAGAATATAAAACAACTGCGGTTTTATGAGAAATCAAATGGCAACATGTTGAAAAAAAATCGTGAACGAGTACATGATTAACGGTCTCTACCTATAATAGAGGATACTTCAAACTCTTGTAGATGGCGGACCAAGCCCCATTTGAGCTAAGCATTTAGCTGATATTTAAATCCAAATAAAGGTGAATCAAATTGATCCATGTATGACTACGAAGAGTTAAGCTGAAATTGAAGTAAGACTAAATCTCGGAAAAATTTTTGATAATTGTTCTCGACGAGTGAAAGTTAAAGAAACCAACAGGCACATTTGTGCAACACGTGTGGAACGTCTGGTAAGCAGGTAGACGAAAGAATTAATGCTGTTTCTTCCTCGCCGCTCACACTTCCTGGATGACAAGTAAAGGTAGTAAAGATAGTAGAATAATCCATCTGACAAGATATTATCCTTCTTGATTCAAAAATATATGCCAAAAATATCTAAACAAAGTATTTACAAGATTACTTCTAAAAGGTTTATTAAAATTAATTGAATTTTAAGAGCCTTTATACTGATGGATATATTGGATATTAGCGTCTATATTGATGCTTGATTAAATATGCGATTGCAAATATAAAATAAGATTATTAAACACGTATAAAGAACAAGTTTATAATCATATATAAAAATATGTTCTTATATATATATAATTTTCTAATTAGCAACATTTTCTTTTAATTATTTATCTGACAATAGGTGCGACATCCGCCGTGAGTAGGTAGAACGGGTTAAACTGAATAGAAACGTTTTTTCATTCGTGGTTATGGCAATAAATAATGCAAAATTAATAAATAATTATTCGCAAATCAGGGTGCGTCGTCACGTTTCGGCATTAACGAGACAGCTTGGCGTCTCTATACAGTGTTGTTGTACGTGATGCGGTCACGTTATTGCCGCAGTCCTTGGGTTTTTATCTCTCCCTCTTTTTGAGAATTCTAGATTTTCTTTTCTGCGAGAGTGGGGCTCAAAATAAAGGTGTTATATTCCACAGCACGGATTCAGCGGCAAGCGCAATAGCGAGTCTCTTCGGAATTAACCATCTTTAGTCGAGTTTGACGCGCGACGCGCGAACAATCTCTTTGCTACGTTTATACTCGTACGTCGTCTTGCTAATATCTCTTAAAATAGATTTTTAATCTGTGATATGTGCGTGTATTCTCTTAATCTCTAATCGATTGCGGCGAATCAAATCCTTTTAAATTCCTGTGCAATATTGATAGGACATTGACTGATTCCTTTTATCAAAATGACTCGCGCGCGTCCGCTCAGGCAATTTGAAATTCGCGATAATGGCTGATCGTTAAAGTAGTTTCAACGTGCGCGTGCTTGAAACTGATGTTTGAGCAGTTTCAACACGATCGGCGATACGTGCAAAATATTGTGAGTGATCTACGTGGTGTCGGAGTTCAATTAATAGTGATAAAATGGTAAGAAGAATGCGTGCAGGATGACATTGACGGAAAATTATGGACGCAGACCGGCTGTTCCGAGTTCCGAGAAATGAAAGTACGTATTTTATTGGAATAAATAATTCCAAACATCGATTGTTAGGAGTTTGTAAATAACAATTACTTTGTAAGATCCACTTTTCGGCATAAGCTAAAGTAATAAAGATATTGATTGATTGAATTAATGTGTAAGAGAAACATAAAATAAATTAGAAAATTCGTAAAAACTATATATAAGAGAATCGAAAAATCCGTACGAGCAAATAAAGGATGTTATACCATTGAAATATTTTATAGTTTATTGTTCAAAGGTAGACAAAGCTTTGTGGACGTTTCTAAATTATATATAGAATATAGTTCCTATAACCTCTCAATGCAACATAAATTTAATTAATTTATAAGCTCTCGTACATAATTTTTTGACGCATATTTAAATAATAAGTAATAATTGTGAATAATTTTTATCCTCTAATTATTTTACGAAGATCAATTCCTTGCAGTAAAGCGCACGCGTTTCGACCGTCGCACGACAAAATGGCCCTGTTCGCCCCCGACGGCCCCGACGCAATGGCCTGTAATTTTCCCGGTAAAAAAACGTGAACGAATGTTTGAGCGCGGTTTCTGCGAATACGCGAAAAAGATGATAACTGGATGTTAATTTATACGCATACTTTAGAAATGTTAGATTAAAGAAAAAAATGTTTAAATTAGGAACACAGAGAGAATTTTCTCTTAAAATTTACCCTGAAATCATGGTAGTTGTGGGACAACATGTTCCACCAAGAATTTTATGCGAGCTATTCTGATTAATATCCACCATAATAAAAAATATTAATATCTATTACATTAAAATATAAAATATGTTTGATTAATTTTATTAAAATATATCTAGAAAAATTCAATAATTTTTCAAAATTTACCAATCTGCTTGGTAATTCTTATCACGTTGTTTGTAAAATGTCTTTTGTATATTTTAAAAATTTCTTAGTTGCCAAGTTGTCCCAAGTTTGTAGTGAATTTAAGGGTAAAATATAACAAAAAGTTCTCTACGTGAAGAAGTAATCTTATCTTCATAAAGGCATTTATAAGTTTAGACAAGAGATGAGAGATTCTCGTCTTTAACGCAATTTTAATAAAAATTCTATAAATATATTATAAGTTATTGCAGCAACTTTATAAAGAGAGAAAGAAAGATATACCTATACATATTAGAGGACAAATATTAACACATACTTAAATTCTTTCAATACCCACTAAATAATAATAAATATCTTTATGCATTACTCATTTTAAAAAATTACGCAAAATCAATCAATAAAGCATCGCTGTTCGCCTGAATTATAATCAAGATTTCATAGCTGCAATGGGATATTATAGCTGGGAATGATAACGTCGCGAGCAAAGCCGCATATCAAATGTCGAGAAATCAGATGCGAGTTAACAAATACTGACGCACAAGATGTATGCAATTTCACTCACGTTTATTACAAATGTTATTAGGTCTATTTTTTTCAATTAGATTCGTTTTTCCTTGCTTTTATATTCACGTTTTCTTGCAAAAGAAACCATTTGCACGTGTGCCCCGTCGGCCGTTTCGTATCGTAAAGCCGTCGCATCTTATTCAGCCTTCTTCGCGTTTTTTCTCAAAGCTTCAATCTTTTTTCATTTATGAAACATAGTTCATGAACGCGGTAACTTATAATAAATAATTCCAAACATCGATTGTTAGGAAAATGCCAAAACGGAAGCTTACGTAACATCGCACCGAATTTGCGGGTGCATTGTTCCGCTATCAGAAGATATCATTTCCAAGGTAATGTGCATTAATATTAATTATCCTTTTTTTCGCGCATTCGCAAAAACCGCGCTCAAATATTCGTTCGCGCTCGTTTCACTATGGGAAAATTGCAGGTCTTTATCGCGTCGGGGCCGAATCTTCCGTTTTGTAATGCGAGGCTCGAAACTCGAAACACGTGGTGCATTGCTGCACGAAATTGAATAATTAAAGGATGAATATTATTCACGATTAAATATGCGTCAAAAAATTATGAGAGTTTATATATATGTATGTTAAAATGAAATTAATATTGTATTAACGATTGGAGATTTTGTTGAAAATGTATATAAACTGTCGAATAAACGATTTTTTAAATTTAATTTCATAGTATTAATTATAGATATATATTTATATAATATTATTAGATATAGAATTTGAGTTTCTTTTGAGATTATTCAATGTAAGAATTCATGTAAGAATTTATCATATGATGTAAGTTTTTCTTCACACAGATCAACGAAAATTTTAGAAGTACCCTTTCCCAGACTAAAGATTTCCATTTTAAAATATGCATGTATTTTATTTATGTGACTACAAAACGTGCAAAAATAACGTGTATTTTTTAACTTGCAGCGTTCCATCCAAATATAATTTAATAAATTTGTATAGATTTAGGTAAACTAGATTTTTTGGACGTGGAGCTTATTTAAGGAACCAAGCAGCAATTATTTTGAATAATTTGCGCATAAATATTCAGAAAAAACTAAATCGTATTTATGACGTAGCCCGAGTTTTCACGCGCACCGTAAAAAAAAAGTAATTTTGAGAAAAACGGCGAGTGTCACACCTATTATTAGAGAAATAACTAGAAAAAAAAGAAAATGTTATTAATTAGAAAATTATTAACATTTTTATACATGTGATTATGAAATTGTCTCTCATTGAGACGTCTTTAATACAATTTTTTTTCGTATTCGCAATTGCACATTAGCCGAATATCAGTATTGTTACGCTCGGCCGTAAGTTACGCACCACTCTCACTCACTCAACCACTCGCGGCTCGCGGGAAGCAAGGAAGGACTCCGATTTAGGAAACTCGTTTATTATTACGAAAATACAGCGTCAGGGCAGACACGTTCGCTCGGCACGGCAGCCCAGATTCAAATCTGACAAGCGTCGCTCGTAAACAACCGTTGCCACGGAGCGCTTCTCACTTCACGCCCGACTCGTGTATCGGGCGTCTCAGCACGGACGTAACACTATAGAAACTGATATGCATCAGTTCATATACAATTTAATTAATTTTAATCAATATTCATAAAAATAATCTTGTAAAAATTTTGTTTATATAATTTTGCCATGCTTACGAATCAAGAAGGATAATACGTTATCAGAAAGATAAGTTTGCTCTATTGCCTTTATTGTGCGCTCTTTACACTTGCCATTCAGCGGCAAGTGTGTTTATTAGCTCAATCAGCTACTTACTTGCAAGATACATGTGTTGCACATATGTGCTGCATGTTGGGCCTATCGGTTGCTTCCAACTAACACCTGTGTGGCACTAAAGCAAGAGGAAAACCGTAAAGAAAAAAGTTATTTTGAGAAAAATGCATTTAAAGTGTTGCCGAGCCGCGCCGAGCTGTCTGAACCTTTCGTTGAAAATTCTGTAACTTCGACAATTCTTTGAATTTCTACATATATCAGACTTATTTTATACTGTTTTTAAAATGTTAAGCTATGAAAATATGCAAAAAAAAAGGGAAAATCAATTTTTTGAAATTTTCAAACGGGTATGCTCCCTTAAAAAATCTGCCTTAAGAGAATATTAGCAAGACGATGTATAAACGTAAGAAAGAAATTTACTCGTGCGTCACGCGTTAAACTTGACTAGAAAGGATTCATTTCGGAGAAACTCATCGCTATTCTCTATTACCACTGAATCTGAACTATAAGCTACTTCGGCTACATCGTTCTTATCAAGAATTTTCCAATGGGAGAATCTTCTGGGAAAAACTCAAGGACCAGCTGTGCCGTCCGAAAAATAATAAAGCCTAACATCTGGCAGCATGTTTCTAAGAACTATACGCCTGTCACGCCACGCTGTCTAATCGCATCGCCGAATTGTAAAGACATAAATTATGCCATGACAGTCGCTCATGAAGCAAGCGCAACGAGAGAACCAATCGGCATCGCGGAAAAACGACAATACCTACGACATGCCCTTTTTAGAAGAGGATAGGTACCAAAGTTTGATTTAAATCAAACAAGGAACATAGAAAAAGAGAAAACTCTAATTCAAGAAGTGGCAAGTAAATTTTCGAGCGTTTTAAAGTATCGTATTAATGCTCTTCAGCTTGAGAAGTAAATCAAAGTGACGTATTATTGTTAAAAGAAAAGTTTCTATTACTATACGACATGTCATTTTGAGGAATAACAGTAATTTATTGTAAGAAAATGACTAAAAGGTTCTATCTTAGGTTTTGGGAAACGTCGAATCGCGGCGCGGATAAACGATCTTTTGCTCTCGCCCGAACGCTTCCTCGTCCTCATTTCTGTTTCGTCATCATTCCTTCTTCGGTCTGATATATGTGAGGTACTTCGAGGTATGCCGAGATAAAGCCTCATCTTGCATCTCATTGGCGCAGCCTACGACCTATCGACTACTCACACGTATAATTGTGTATCCCTTCTACTTCTGCGGATATATGAGTTTTAGTTTCTCCCTCTCCATTCTCTTTTCTCCAACCAATGGTTCTCCTCTTCCACCCTGTCCACTCTCTTCCACCCTTGCTTTTGTAAAAATGTTACATATGTAATAATAGATTGATGGTTTAGAAAAACTTCCATTCAACGATTAATTATAGAGGTGCATGAATAAGTAAGGGGAAACGTTTCCAGCTGTGTCAAGTAATTTTTTAGGTAGAATAACGTTTGGAATTTGACAGTACAAAACAGTATTTTCTTTTAAGATACAGTATTTGCCTTTCTTTTTCCTGTCATCTTCTTTCGTAGTATTCTATTTTATCTTTTGCAAAAACTTAACAAAAAATATTGTCGGAAGCGTTTCGTCCGTTGCATTCGAACTGTAGAAACTCTCATATTTTGTTATGTGTTTCGGTTGGAATATTTTATTATTAGAGTATTTTATTTTATTATGCATCAAGCGCGTACTTCCATTAATGTAAAAATAAAATTTCTATTAATCTATCATATGTATATTATTAATTTTACATTCTTATTATTTCTAATACAAATAATAGATGCTAATTTAGCTAATAATAACAATCAGGCGTCACAGCCTGGCTTTAATTAATTAATTTGTTTACATATATATTGTATAGAATTGTTAGACGTCACGATAATAATTATGTAAAAATATAGATTATACTTTTTTTAAGTTTCTATTTAAACTGCCAAACTGCCTAAGATAGAGAGAAATCCTACGTTCGTTCATGCGATGACATTACGATACGAAAACGACTTACTGGCCGGCCACGTGTTCAAATCTCAGGCAATATTATCTTTACTTGTTTCGCGAGCGTACATGGATACTCTCTCTCTCACGCGTATCTGCGCGAAAACTACCCTGACGTACATTGACGTACGGAGTGTTCTCCGTCCTGTGCATCGAAAAATCTTTGGCTAGAGTCGCCATCCGGCACGATTTGCATAATACGCCTCTTCAACGATTGCGCCGTCGTTATTTACTTCTCTCTTCGCATAAGAAATGACACGATAAAAATAACAATAAATTACAGGGTAACTGTCTAATTTGGGTCTTTCTCTCCACTTCCGATGATCCACTGCCTCAACATTTTCACGAGATTTGTGACCGATTTTCCTCTTGCTTCAGTGTCACACAGGTGTAAATTGGAAGCAACCAGGCCCAACATGCAGCACATCTGTGCAACTCATGTAACATATGCAAGTAGGTAGCTGATTGAGCTAATAAACAGTGCTGTCTGTCCCTCGCTGCGCGCTTACACTTGCCGCTGAAAAACAAGTGTAAAGAGCGCACAATAAAGGCAGAAGAGCAAACTTATCTTTCTGATAACGTATTATCCTTCTTGATTCGTAAGCATGGCAAAATTATATAAACAAAATTTTTACAAGATTATTTTTATGAATATTGATTAAAATTAATTAAATTTTATATGAACTGATGCATATCAGTCTCTATACTACTGATATTCGGCTAATGTGCAATTGCGAATATAAAAAAAGATTTTATTAAACGTATCAATAAGGAACAATTTCATAATCACATGTATATAAAAATGTTAATAATTTTTTAATTAATAACATTTTCTTTTTTCCTAGTTATTTCTCTAATAATAGGTGTGACACTCGCCGTGGGCAGGTAGAACGGGTAAAACTGAATAAAAAAGTCCTGCATCATTTTTGTGATTATGGCAATAAATAATGTGAAATTAATTAATAAGTATCCGCGAATCAGCGTGCGTCTGCGTGATTCAACGAGATGAGACAGCCCAGGTCTCCACAAAACTCTACGTCTCTTGCTAGGTCCACGGTCAGGTACTTCGGGTTTATCTGTTCTTTGAATTTTTCTGAGGGGACTTTCCTTCTTTTATATGCACCCTATTGAGGAATTCTCCACCCACGCCTGTGTCTGACCAATGGAGCTTAACCATTTCCCTCGTTTAAGTAAGTGAATGTTAGTGCTTTTGCCTGTTACTGTATTAGTGCAACTTTGTCGTTTTTACAGATCCGTACAGTAAGAATAAGAGAATGAGACCGGCACATCCACCTGCTACAGTGAAGTTTAAGTTTAGCAATAGCGCGAGTGGTGTCGATTGTACGACTGAACTGAGCGTTCGTCTTTACTCACAAGGGCAATGGATGATCAAGATACGGAATATGGTTCTCACAGCTCACCTAACTCATCGGGAAGCAGTGTCGATTGGGATGAGGAAAGGTAAGATAAAACAAGGAGAATATATTGGTTTAGCAAACGGGTGAAAATTATTTCAGATCATTTGGTATTAAATTACTTGGATATATACGCTTTAATAGTAATTCTTCTCCTTATATCATTATATCTAATATATTAATATTGTTATATAAATATATATATAATTAAATTAGAAAAATTATTTTTTCGATATTTCACATTTCAAACAAAATCTCCGATCGTTAATACCAACGCAATATAAATTTTCTTAATCTATAAGCTCTCTATATATAATTTTTTGGCACATATTTAAATAATAAATAAAAATCGTGAATAATTTTCATCCTTATTCCATAAAAATCAACTTGCAATAATGCGGACCACGTGTTTCAAGCGTCGCGTCGCACAAAATGTCGCGTCAGTGTTGAGTTTGCCCCGGCATTTTTCAATTTGAAAATTTATCTTTGCGTCACTTTTCCTTTCCTGGCGGCAAAACAAAGCGACGTACAGCAAAACTTTCTGAATCAATTTTGTACCTGAAGGAACACTATTTAAATATATACCATTAAATTTGCCTAAAAATTTTAATTAAATATTAAAAATTGCCTTTGAAAAAATAGTGTCGAGATAGCCCCGGTCTCCCCTACTTTATTACATTACTCTAATAAGATTCTAATAAAATTATATTCTAATAAATTTTATTCTTTTTGTTTGCAGACAGCATGAAATTATGGTAAAAGAAAAAAGCAAAAACGCAGCGCGGTCGCGCAATTTCCGCGTTAAGGAGAAGCAGGAATTTTCGGAGCTGGCGGAGCTGCTACCACTTCCAGCTGCCATTACTACAAATCTGGACTGTATCAGCGTCCTCAGACTGACCATAAGTTATCTCAAGATGAGAGCCGTCTTTCCTCATGGTAACGATATTGCCAGCCATTTGATAAATCTTGTTTTTATTTGTTATAACCTTTTTTTAAATATTAATCGATATATAGAATAATAATTAATAAATAACAGTATACTTATCGGCAGAAATTATAGATACGTGATTGTAGATATAATTATCTATGACCTATAGTGCATGAAACATTGTCAAGACAACATTCATATCGGATAAATAAGAAAAAGATCGGAGTATCACTGTAGCTTCTGTGTTTTGTTTTATCTTTTATTATTTTTTTCTGTATTTTGTATAAGGCATAAATATTGAAACATTTTCAGATTTAAAATTTTAAAGTTAAACATCTGTATGTGCAAAAAAATGAAACCCTTATTTATGGGACGTCAATTATTTCTAGAAATTGTTATTGATGATAATTTGAACGTTGTAGTCCAGTCAAATTAGACAAAAAAAAAGGCTTTTGCTCGGAAGTGAAGCGGTATCAATGAAACCTTTTTAGGGTTGTTGGGGGAATGTAGAAGAGCTTATTTCTGAGTTGTCGGGTTAATCGGACCGATGGGTTTTTAAGGGGGGGAGGGGGAATAAAAAATTTCGTTTTTTTGCAATAACTCGGCGAATTTTGACCGTACATGATTTACTAACCCCTCATTTTGTAGCTCTTTTAAAGCC